ATCGCAAAATTTATGACGCTCCAAGTACATATGCAAAGCCTACATACAACAGTTCCTCTTATACTCCCTGTCCCCGCATTAAAAGCTTGAATCTTTGATCATTGCAAAACAAGGTTGCAGCTTGGAAACTGGATCTTCTTTCTCGGCCATGTCTAATGGGGTCACAAACTCTTTATTCAGACCTTCCCACGGGACCTTGGAAATGGGACTGTACATACAAAACCAACTTCCCTTTTGGACAATGCTACCAATCAAATTCAGATTCTTCAACCTCAGAACTTACCACAAAGCTTGGAAATGCTAAGGTTATGTCTCTGAATGTCAAAAGTTAACTGAGATTGATCAATATTCATTTGTTATACTTGACAAAAATCATCAGTGGCAGGAAGTTTATATATGATCTACTACTTACTTCAAGTATGGGAGAGTCATGTTCTTTATCAAAGATGGGTGCTTTGAAACAAATTCATTCCATTCTTCTGGATCGATTTTTCCATCACCTTTTATATCTGCTTCACTAAATGACTGGAAAAGAAGATGGCTTTAGAATGTCAAACTGACGAAAGTAAGAAGTGTGTGGTTAATCAGCAGGAAGTATCTGCACCTTATCCACCATCGTTTCAACTATATCTTCTGAAAGTACCAGATCCAATTCATGCAGAAGTGCCAGCACCATCTCCTTCAACTGCAAAGATACATCCATAAAAGATCTTCAGAAACAACATATACGACCTTCGGTCTGTGGTAAAGAACTCTTACAATACCAACCTTGTCGCGCTCAATAAAGCCAGTTTGCCTGAGGTCATAAAGTTTGAAAGAAACTGCAAAAATGATTCTCCAAAACTTAGAACACAATGTATATGTGTGACAATTTAAGATCAATAAGATAACAAATGTCTAGCCATTGCTATCTAGAGAAATTGATCATACATGCAATTTTGTCCACAACAGGTGCATCTGGATGAAAGACACCTAATGAACGAACGAATTCCCCGAAATCAATAACACCAGTGCTCTTGACATCAAATAAATCAAAGATCTACAAATCCATAAAATATATTCTTTAGAGCTCGAAGCTATATGTGGAACGAAGAATAAAACATTCCTCTAGTAAAATGCATCGTAATTCATAACTATAGCCTTATAAGCAACTCAGAATTGCAACAATATTAGGGGAAGACACCATCCCTTTACGCACCCTGTCAGCAAAAAGATTCGTCCGATTTTTGTTCCTGAAAAGGGCAAGCTGGAATTCTTCCTATCCACCAAAAAGCAAGGAAATTATACCTAGTTAAAACGTGAACGAAGCTAAATGACTAAAAAGAATAAAACTTATGTTTTGAAAACATACATGTTCTGTGTACGTTAAATTTTGTAAAAGCAACCAACAGTCAACATACCTTCTGAATTAACCCATCAGCAAAGATTGCATTGCTTAATTTCTTAAACAGCTCATATAAGGCCTCCACTTCACTAACAGTAACTGCAAACAAAAGACGATACATGTAATGACTCAGTAAACAGCCAAACAGTTCTGTTTGATGAAAAAAGCGATTATGCTTTCTTTCTTTCTTTCTTTCTTTCTTTCTTTCTTTATGCAGATGTCTTGGGCTGCAAATGATTTCCAATCTTAAGTTTATGAATGCAGGGCTGTCAGCAGTTTATGAAAAGAAAAAAGAGAGATCTTTAGATTGGCAAAGTTGCAAGGTGTACCAGGCTGATTACTTACAAGGTGTTTCAGCAGCAAGAACGGTAGGGTCCTCATACCCAGGAGATCGCCTCATTTTCTTTGAGAAAGCACAACCCATTAATACGACTAGCACTAGCCTGATTCAAACACAGTACCTTCCGATGGTAGGGTCATCCGATGTTGCCAGTGTCAGCCAATATCTGAAAGAACGTAAAATCCATTCATATATTAAAAGCTAATGCCTATGTGTGTTCATTATAGAAAAACTACAGTCATTTTGAACTAGCAACAAGCAGCACATAGAACTTGAGTGCTTTACCAATTCTTCAACGTGGTGTTCTCAAAAATAAATCTTGCTTATATTTCTGGAAGAACAAAAGTTATAAACATTAATAGAAAGAGTAGTTCAACAGTATCTCTAGTTAAAATTAATTAAAGATTAACATCAATTGAAATCAAGATCTTCCACAGATGAATAGATTTAAGGCAAGAGGCATTAGGTCATCAAAGATTGGCTAAGTTGATTTAGTCCAGCAAAGCTAAATATTACATTATCACCATCTCCACTTTGGTAATTAATTAATAACAACAGGGAAAACCCTATTTATTTCAAAAAATTTGTCAACTGATCCAGCAGAGAGAGCTATCTTAAACCTCAATGACATAGAGCACAAAAGAGTAAAATACATAGAACCACCACAATTAAATATGGGGAAATATTCTACAAGTTTGTTAACTTTTATCTTATCCACCACAGTTAGATCCATTCCCAGTTCTAGAATTCTACAATTTCTGCTGAAGATGGTGAACTCTTGTTTCTGAGACAGCTTGGTTGAATCATGTGTATGGATCCATATTCAGCAAGGTCTAAAAATTAAAAACACCTTAATAGATTCACCCTCTTTTACAAAAAATATAGTAGTGAATTAAGGAAGAGGAAAATAAGAGTGTAAGATGTATATTCTTCTCCAATACTGAATTTTTAAGATTTTAGAGTATGAAGGAAGCAAAATAAGAGGCCTCAACATCAACCTTAGATGTTTGACCTAAAAAAGAAACCATTAACCTTAGACATTTCAGTTTAGAAAGTAAAAATCATTATCAATCATCAAGTAATTTGTGATATTTCATCTTCAAACTTCAGTTAAGAGCCAGATATTTCCAGTGAGACCGGCAAGCAACACGATCTAAAACCAAGTTGAAAACTCTGTTCGATATTCGTAAACATAAATATAAAGATGTGGCGGAAAATTCAGAACCTTACATTATACATAATTTGAACCCTTAGTTTATACCAACAAGCTTCCGTAGGCAGATCTGATCTCCCTTATTTTATACCAAAAACTACTAAAGATAATCAATACAATCAAGCTTTCAGATCAAGTCTCCAATGCTAACCAAACTGAAAAAAAAGAGAAGAACAAAACAATAAATAAAAATTGGTCTACACTGTCACTCCTTGGGCCTCTTTTTTTTTTTTTTTGGTTTTTCGCTTGGTATCCGGGGCTTTACCCCGACTAATCTGGATCCGATCCGTATTGCGCATCTAGAAATGATGGGTGAGTCTCCCAGTGGGGGCAACTGCGTACGCAAGGTCTCGAACTCGAGACCTTACTTAAGTTAGAACAAGCCGCTTACCACTTGATATAACCCCTCGTTGGTTCCTTAGGCCTATTTGGTATGGTTAAAATTCAACAAATAATGGGTAATGAGCAGTGGGTAGCGAGTAGCAGGAAGTGGATAGTGGGTGACGATTAATTAATGGTGGGTGGTGAGTAATGGAAAGCAAGTAACAAATAATAAATAGTGGATTCGATTAATATAATTGTTTGGTTATGTAATA